CGACAGAAGCAAAATAAAGTGCATGAACCAATCAGTGGATCACTCTGCCATATATAAAAGACATATCAGAACTTACAGCATGACTACTGAGACTATTTGGAATAGGTGTAACACAAAAACCATCAGAATCACTTCAATCAATCCTATGTAGTAGACCAAAGGACTAAATGACAGAGGAAGGAAAACCAAATTTCATCTGCAAAATAAAATGGTCAGACTGTGAAAAACACTACATAGGACAAAGTAGACGTCCTCTTCAACTTCGTTTGCGTGAACATCAATCAGCAGTAAAACGCCACGTCATTCTTTTCCTTTTATCAATACATACGTTCGATTGAAACAATGTTGAAATATAAAACAATTAGTCCCTTTTATAAATTTTGATAAAACAGTGAGAAGTAGGAATTGATCTGAAAAATGTGATATATTTGCGCTATATATTTCGAACAATCCGGTGACACATATACTTGTCAAGTCCTTTTATTTGAAGAATAGTAAAAGGTCAATTAAATAAAAGTTCAAATAGACGTGAGGTGATAATTGTGAATGAAGGAGGGAGAAAATGAACGTAATAAAGAAAGGATTAGTGCAATTTACCATTGAGAAGAAAGATACGAGTAATTCGATCTGTTGCACTGTAAATGAATTTAATCTCATAAGTCAATTTCTTCATTCACCTATTACATTTATCACACAAACTATTGTTAAATTCTATTTCCTGATATCTTTCTCAGGTTTTTTAAATTTCACATACTTAACATGTAACTAAGCAACTTATTTGAAATAATGTAAGCTGAAGACAATGAAATTATAAATTGTTAAATGGATAATGCACAAAATTTGTATTTAATTCACATTTACTAACTGCATTATTCAAGTACAAAACAGAAGCCAGTTGAACATGCAATAAAGCACTTTAACATAGTTTAAGACTTTGTTTTCACTATAATTACAGTTCTTCATGTTGTTGCAGTGCATTTCCATAATTTGTCGCCTGACTGCTGACAAAGGTATCTCGTTTAGCAATAATTTCTGCTTCTGTTAATAATCCGTCCTAAGAAATGAAGAAAAAAAATGGACAAAGACCAGTTCATAATAGTCGAAGTTTCGTAATTCTACCATATTCCTTTGGTTTGCATTGTCTTATTGTTCTGCCTTACGTAATTTTATTTAATAAAATATTTAGTTGCATAACTGAGGGGGTTTTAAATTATGTTCAACTGATGTATATAAACAGATTCATATTGACTAGAAAACAAAAAAAATCCAAGCAGCCCTTAATAAACGTTTTATCCTCACTAAGAGTTAAAAACTGACACGTGCTAAATGCCAAATCAATACACTTTTCGTCTAAGATCAATGGTAAAAATTTATTTGACGACATTTACAATTTGCATTACGGGGTTGTGAAGATTGTCAAGTTACACATTTTTTGAAACCATGAATCGATCAATGTTAGACCACCATTAGAAACCTGGAAGCACTGGACGGCCGTTTCGTCCTAGTATGGGACTCCTCAGCAGTGCGCATCCACGACTCCTGCACCCCGCAGGATTCGAACCCAGGACCCTCGGTATCGTACGCAAACGCCTGACCAACTTTACTTAATGTGCAGAAAACGATTTGAAAAATTCATAAATATTTCCTGCAATGTGATAGTTGGAATATAAATATCAATGAATAATTACGTTTGGTAAATGAACATCCGGCTGTTTTATAAGGGTATCGCGCTATGTTCTTGTTTTACTGATCAGCATGATCTTTGAATTTAATCCATGATAATTTTTTAAGTATTTTGGCTGTAAAAGTAACACAAATTACGATAAGTATGATCATATTTCTTTTGAAAGTACAAATTAATAGTTATGTTTCTGTTAGTCACTAAATAAGATGTACCAAGAGGTCTCATTAAAAAATGTTCGAAGTTAAATTCTGGTATTTTCTTACGGTTGTGAAGATTGTTGAGTTTCGTTGAAATCACTGGTTGATCATTGTTACACCACTATTGTAAACCTGAAAGCAGTCAACAGCCATATCGTCCGAATATGGGACTCATCAGTAATGCTCATTCACGACCCCCTGTCGTGGGAATCGGAAGCGTGACCTTTCTAACTTTCATCAATCCAAGGTAGTGCATAACCTCTCGGTAGGTACTCGCCGAAACCAGGCAGAGTTGAACTCCACTAGTCATTGTTTCAATGCTTCAAGGTTTCTAATGATGATATAACAATGATTGATTTGTGATTTGAATCGGATCCTGATATTATTGAAGTGCACAGTATAACTATCCATAAACCCAATTAAATTGTCCTTTTTTCTAGTGTTGCAAAGTTAAACAACTTTACATATTAGCATAGAATAGATTGATCTCTGCAATCAGTTAATTTACTAGTTAAATCTACAATTGCAGTTGTACATCTATAAAGAAAATGCAAAAAAACCATGACTTCAAAAAATATTAACTTACTTTATTAGTATCAGCATGATAAAACAAATGTTTCGTTTCAGCATCTATTGGATCATAATTCGATGGCATTATCCATTCGCCAACTTCTGCTCTATCCATTTTACCGTCTTGATTTGTATCTCTAAACCGACGAAATTGACTACGTTCACGTTCAACCCATTCTGCTTCAGGTTCATTCTCATCAAATGGTGTATTTTGATAAGCACGAGCTAAATCTCCTATTTAAAAATAGTGAGATGAATGTCAAAATCAAGATGAAAATCGAATTTCTACACTTATTTGTCGATAGAGTTAGACTAGTAGTATAGTAATTTACTACTAATCTCTATCCACGACAATACAATGACATACGTATGGCATATAACGAGAAAGATATCTCACACTTTAGCTCTGAATGCAAATCTAAGTTGTTGAATTAAAAAGTATCAAACTAAAACCTGATATGAACTGAAACAACAGTAATTAATATGTATCCACATTAAATAAAACTGTTAGCCAGTTCACTTTTTTTTAAGTTTTATCCCGCATAAACGATATATAGTACGGCAAACCTTCAACCAGTCTGATAGCTATAAAGAAAATGAATGGATATTTTCAGGTTATGTTAAAGCCATTAGGTGATGCTATGAACTAAAATGTCTATTCACATCGGTTCACTTAATGAAGGTTGAATGTTGGTCAAAGTTCTTGCCTAAACACAACGAATTATTTTCTCATAATTTAGAGAAAATTTAATAGAAACCATTAAAATATAATAGCTGATAATTAAGTGTTATTTATTTGTTAAAAAAAATGGCGATGCTAAATGCAAGTTCCTAGTTGAAGTGACCAGTTTTGTTTTAATCATTAATGTAGTGCTCGAAAAGCTTGAATAATAACAGAAAATAATAAATCCTCTTTACTTCTTTACCTAGATATTCTTTTTCAGATACATAACCATCTTTGTCCTTATCCACAGATTCAAGTAGTTCCTAATACAAAAAAAAAATAGAAATCAGAAAAACAAAAAGCATTAAATTTGCACTGTTATAACAGATCAAAATCAACGTATTAACTTATTAAAATTTAATCATTAACTTTTCCTGGTAGGTTTGCATGGGACTTCTTTGTTAAACACCCGAATTCGTTAAGATTGAAAATGTTGATTATAAGGTACACATAGGCTAAACTTAGAAATTTTCTGTACTTGATTCATATCTTATGACACTTCGTTAGTAAATTATTATCAATAGTAATGTTATAATTATCGAGACTTATTTACAGAAACACATATAGCCTGTGAAACTATTCAGCGGAGTAATGGTCTGTTGAACTAGAATTGGTGTCATTCAAACTAGGGTAAACCGATAACAAGCCTTGATTAAACTAAAATACTAGGTATAAACCACAGTATATATTTGATTACATTTAGGTGTCAGATCCTGTTCATAACAATCTGTCTATTTACTGACTCGAAATACACCTACAAATACAAAACCATTATTGTTGTTACTGGAGGCCGTCCGTTCACCATAGTTTCATTGAAAAGGACTTCTTATGGATTTTGCTAACACAAATGCATTTTATAGGAAATAGAGTTATTGCTGAGAGAAGCTACGACAACTAGCTAAAATTTAAGAGAAGCGATATACAGTAGAAATCAAGATTTTGTCCAAATTGTTTCCCCTTACATGCTTCTTAACTTTGAAAATGAAAATGAATAAGGGTTCAAACAATTTAGTGGTCAACTGTACTTGGCTGTTCAGTGGCAGCTTGAAATGAATAATACTGGTTTCGAATTCGAAAGTGAAAATCAACACTGTAGTTGATAAGTTTGTCACTAGGTACGCTTGAAGCTATTACGAGTTTACCTTTGTCGATAAGCGAACGAGACAATTACCAGCGTCCAGATAGGCTACCTTGAATCCCAAGCTGTAAACCAGAAGTCTTGGTAAGCGTAGAAAGTATATTCTACAAACACCTAGCAATCTCAATACAATCATTCACACAACTCTCGTTTATTTATACATCATAGAAACGTCCTTGGGACAGTAACGAAAATAGCACACTAAAATACACAGCCGCCAATTACAGCCATGGATTTTCCTGGTGGGAAATGAAATCTCAAGGTCAACTGATCAGCCCATGCTCGCAAAAGTGAAATCCAAAATAAGGCATTTATCAAGCGAGTTTTGGGGATCTAACATCCCCAACATCAGTGCAGAGAGATAAAGCTGAATAGTACACTGTTAGCCTAAAACCATTTAAACTGAAAAGCTATTTCAAAAATCTATTTTTCATATACTTTTTTTATCCTGTCCAGATTCATAGCACAACCAATCAATTTAGATAATTTGATATTAACTTATAAATGTTTCCGTGAGAGCACATCCTTTGAATAGAAATGTACATTGCTATGTATTAACAGGTTGAGAAAAATAATGCTAAAATGAAAGAACACAAAATGAGTTCTCCTTAAAGCTGGGTTCAATTGACTAGAAGTTATTTAATGATATACCTTGTATATCAGTATATGAAATAGTTGAAACTACAAGAATTGAAATTTATGAATAAAAAAATGTTGCCATACGACCTAACTGATTTTCGTCAGTGCATTAGAGTGACCGAATGATTTTGTAATAAAGTTTCCAACCTATGAAGTTACCATTTCGTATGTTAATATGAATGTTGCACAAATTTCATGTCAATCTATCGTCTTCTTAAATATTAGCATAAGAAATTTATCCATGAATTAAAAATTTTATCACTTACATCTATAACAGCATCACGCATATTTGGCCTATCTTCAGGATGTACAAAATCAGTGAATTCTGCTTTGTTTAAACTATCATCTTTGTCCAAGTCAGCAGAAACCCATCGTCGTCGATCATGATGCACAGCTTCTTTATATGATTCAGATGTAGCTGTATCTTTTAGTCGTTCTATAGGTTTAAGGGGTAATCAATAGGTAAGTATTTACAAGCCATTATTGTAAAGTATGAACTGTATTATATAGCTTCATCAACAATACGGAAATCATTTTATGATAAGCTGCTTACTTCAGTATATGTCAAGTATATGAAAAAACAGAGCATGCATTCCTACAGTCAGAAAGGAAGCCTCAATGAAAATTATCTATATTCATCCTTTTCTGTAATTTACATTTTTTAATCGCTATTGTTAAAAGATATTTTAGAAAAGTGCATCTATTTTATACATCATTTTTAAAGCAAATATTCTTAATAAATACTTTTCATGATCCAGTCAAAATTCTGCTTTATATCAATGTAAACAAAGCTATTGATGATGATATACAATTAATGACTAGAACTGCATATAAAACCAAATATTCAGTTGCAAACACAAACTTAACGGCCAAATGAAAACATAATATGCAACGTATTTTCAATCGGGTTTTATCCTTATCTGGATCATCAGTTTTATTAAATACGAACAATGAGAAATGTAACAGATTTTACCCAGAGATTTCATCATATTGGTACACTAACTATGCCACCTAATAACTGTAATAAGAAATTTCAAGACATTTATGAATTCAAACAACTGTTCAACACTGACTTAATCATATACTTATTTGACTAAATATAAAAATGAGTCATACAAACATTTATCTTTCATCCCAGTTTAATCATGTGTAAGTACGTGGAATTGTTATTCCAGTAGACAGAAATCATACGAATCTGTATTTGGTTTCATTTTATGCCAGTAAGTACAGAATGATTCATTTATTGACAATAACACTATTTCATAGACAAAAAATAAGGTAAAAGGTTTTACTAGATTACCCTGATGTATTTTGTCCGTGTTAACATAGATTGATGCATCAGTCTATCGATTTAATTTACAACATACCTTAAACAGGTGGATAAATAGGCTTTATTATTATTATTATTATTATTGAGAAGTGACGACTGACTACTTATCCTTCTATAGAATAATTTCTTAAAAGTATGATTTGTACCAAAACAATTATTCCTTGATAATAATGTTCACTCTCGTACAAGCAGTAAGATTCTTAGTGACAGTCAAATATCAAAACATATTCTTTATCTTCACTGATTCAATTTTGCAATATCGTTTATTTGAATTTAACAAATTCTCGTTATGTTAAGATTTAATCAACATTACACTGAATATTACAGATAAATTAACATTTAGTCTAAAGTTATAAATCTGTTCATTTCAAATTAATTTACCTTCTTCTGGTCCGTACGTTCTCTCAAGATATTCTGTCCACTTGATTAATGGTTGATTAGTTGGATTTATATCGTTCCATTGACGATCAGTACTATTTTGTTTAGATTTCTTAGCTACATATTCAATCCAAGATTTTAATTCAAGTTCCGTAATTCTTTCATCATTATCTTTATCAATTTTTCGAATGATAATTCTAATAAAACAAAAGTAAATATGATATATTTTAAATTAACTGTGTTTTTTTTTCTGACTGATTAACTTACTTTAATCTTTCTTCACTTTCATTCGGTGTCAGTTGAGCAAATTCTTTGGCAGTCTCTTCGCCTAAAAAAGCATTATGATCAAATTCAATATCATGTCGATCTGGATCATCAGCGAAATGTTCTGTATCACGTCGACTCTATGATATTTCGATAGATATATGCATATGTTAACACTTGTCAACATACCACTGCATCTAGATGTGGTTTTGTACAAATATCATGTATAAGAATCAACAAAATGAAGGATTTATACAAACAGGTTGTTATCATTATAATCACAAAAGATTATATATGTTGTGTACTAGCAGCTACATATATATGAATGATTCTATGTTATTTTACAATCCAACTTGACAAGAATCGACTATGATATGATTGGCCAATATCTTCAGCCTATGCACACGTAGCTAGTGAAAAATTTCACAATAATTTTCATTGGCTTAAATAAATAAGAAAAATGTATCGACCCAAAACGTGGACAATAGAATTTCAGGATGAAGAAATCATAGGCAAGCAAATTCGATTTTTCCAGTCTTAGATAGTAAGCGAGCTATGCACACATCTCACCATATGTAGGAAAAGAGACAGTAAAATCTAAAAAGAGTGATATTTTATACGCCATAGTTTAACTTGAAACTGACAATAATAAATAGGTTAGAATAGTTGATTAACGGGCCAGTGTTAATGTATATTTAGACTATACAGTTCGAACTAAATAATCAGCAAATTAATTATACAACAACTACCATATACAATATCAGTGGACATTTGTTCACAGTAACATGTCTTCTCAAGTGCAATGCTTATAAAATTTCTGAAATAACCACGTGTTCTTTTACCTACAATGAACTGACAATCGAAAACCAACGAAATATATAACAATGGTGGACGATTGTCTGACATCAGTTCTTAACTCATATAGTTCACTGACAGCAAAAAATTAATAATGAGACCACATTATGAAAACTGAAATCTGTATACTCGAAGAGGTAATGCTATTAAATCTTCACTAGGATACGTGTTGCAATTACTGCATAGACTTAATTCATTTCAGCATCAGTGTTCGATTACCATGTCATGCACTAATGCATAGTTGTATCACTTTTATGAACAATCACGCTTTCGAAATTAGAATTTCAAATGAGGAATGAGCTAAGAATCAGAATTTTCATTGGAAGCTAAAATTGATAGCTCCAATTTAAGCCTTTTCAAATTTTTCAAACGTGGTATTGTCGATGCTGTTTTACTTACTGAAGCCTGTGAGATGTTAACAAATATATTTCACCTTCATTTAACATTTCTCCACATTCACACACTGGCGGTTTGCGTCCAATTATCCATAACACTGAAAATACCGGTAAAAAGCATAGCAACGTTTGTATCTAAAGATTTCATATTTTTGAATCAAATAACGAAACTGCATACTGTCTGTATCAAAAGTAAAATCATGAAATTGCAGAGGTAAAAGCATGTGATGGCAAATGTACATTTTACTGCATGCGTCGATCGGTTTTCTGTTCGCTGCACGCAAATTGAAGGCTTGATTCTGTAGACTGTTGTTAGTGTTCGTGAGAAATGTGCTCACTTTTGCAACAGTGTCCACGAGTGGCGAGAGTTCGTCATCACATCAATGATGTACAACAGAGAGATGTATCCAACTTCAACGATTACAGTTAACGTCTGCTGACGGTGGATCGGATCGCCTATCATCATGCTGAAGGTTATGAAGACTATATATGGTATTAAAAAGATCTCTACTCCCGTTCTCTGTCGACTGCGGCTAACATTTGAAAGCACAAACCTTGATGCTTGGAGATCTGGTAATCTCCATAATCCAGTCAACAAATATATCCAGTTCATCGGCAGTGTTATTTCGGACGAAGCGAGTTCTGTTTGCACCTATTGAGGAGGCTTAGTTAGAAGGGACTCTCTAAACAGGTTTGCATCAATAGTTTGTTGGACAAGGAACCTCCTCCTCATACGTATTAATATTTCCGTTGCCAAGCCTCGATATAAGGCGATATAGTGGAAGGGCTAGTCCGGCCTTTGTCAATCGGATTAGTCACGTTTGAAGACGACCATTTTTAGTAGTCAGCTTCAAACAAAATAACAATCTATCAAATGAGTTTAGACAACCAAAACGATTTCAGTTCTCAACCTGAAAATCGTATCCAGACAATACTTTACCACCCGAAAATACAGTGGAAAAAACGTTTCATTAGGTCAATCCAGATTGAGAAGATAAGACAATGTAAGTAAGAACATACATATATTTATGGACTACAGTATAGACATTTGGCTTCAGCCATCAATAGTCAAAACGATGTAGAAAAACAACAGAACCTAAAAGCACCCGTAACTCGTCACACAACACTCATCTCAACATCATTTTTTCGTGCTGTTCACATCCACCACTTTCACATCCTTCTTTCCCTCTTCACTCTTCCCTCCAACTGATCCACCCTTTTGGTTGTCCTTGACAACGTCATTGTCTTCCTCACTACCATTATCATCCTGATCAACTTCTTCGTTCACACTCTTCACTGACTTGTCACCTTTCACGTCCTCTGCCTTGTCATCAGTGGGGACAGCAGCGTCACCTGCATCAGCATAAACATAATCATGTAACATGACCACACAGATTAAAAACAGTGTCGATTTGAAGAACATGATAGAACAGTTGAACAGACCAAAGGTTTACTTGACCGACAGAACGTTAATTCTAAATGCAATGATTTCACTAGTCCACACTAGAGCATATATATATGTATATATCCTATAGGCACATAAAATTGACAGTCAATCAAATCGACTAAAGTTGGTGTGTGAAAGGTGAAATGGCGCACAGTCGTAATCAAAATATCTGAATTTTCTACTAGAAAGCTTTAATTAGGGAACATGGTTGTTGATCTCATGAATTGATTTAAAAATCGACCATACTTTGTCACGTTTGAATGATTTTCTATTGTTTTCTCATTGATGAGTTAATTCTTTCATTTTGAACAGAAATCGTCATTGTGAAGCGTGCTGATGGGATTTTCGGTGTCCGTTTGTTATGCTAAATATTTGCTGTTTGTTTATGGTTACTGTCTCTTCAGATTATACCATTGTACGTGTGATCAATTGGTTAAAACTGTTTAAACGTCATTTCAGAATATGATTTAACACTAATTATACCACTTCTAATTGAACATAAACATTAACCAGCATTCTGCAAACAACTCGGTCTCGGATATTCGTTTCTAACTATACTCAAACGCTATTCTTTTTCGCGTGTTTGTTTGTTTGCTTTCGTCTTTCTTATGAGTAAGTGATTTTCTTCGTTTGTTGAAATGCTGCCCTTGCATTCCAAATTATTTAAATCCATTTTTTTTGATTGGCGTATTTTTAGCAAGTTTGATTTCTAGATTGATTGATTTGATTTTGACAGAGTAAAAGATAGCGGTGATGAGGAATTCAGAAGGTTAGAATTTCATTAAACACAAAGAATAACTGCACCTACGTCATTTCAAACGATTTTGAGCCATGTCACTCAGGGCCTCTAACCATTGATTATTATCATCTCGCGGACCCCAACCAGGTAGTCGACAACTACCGACATGACTCAGTCCACTTGTCAATGACTTCATGGATTTGTGCCATGTTTTAGTCTGGCCGCCCCTAGCTTTTGTGTAAGCTATTTCCACACCATAAAACATTGCTTGACGGACAGTCAGTGGTTAGGCATACGTAACACATGTCCCAACCACCTCAACTGATTAAGTTTCAATATTTCATCTACTGACCGGCCATCGTTACCTAGCACCCGTTTCCTAATACCAGCATTGTTTAATCGGGTGTCCCAGGATATACGAGCAATGCTTCGAAGACACCTATGATCGAAAACCAGTAACCAACGAATATCTTCTACTCTCACTGGCCATGTTTCACAACCATAAAGTAGGTTGGAGCAAACTACTGCTCAGAAAACGGATATCTCGCCTTCACCATAAGTGAGGCAGGTTGGCAAAAGCCATTTGAGCTTACTGTATCCCTATCGAGATATCGTCACACACCAGGCCATGGGCACTAATAAGACTCTCGAGATAAGTGAAGCGGTCAACACGATCAACTGCTTCACTCCTTATCACTAGTTCCGGTGCCGACACGACCTAATCTAGAAGCAACATGTTGCGTTTCGAGGGGGAGAACCGCATCCCAAACGTGCTTGCAATGTTTCTTAGGGTAGTCATAAGACTCTGAACTTTTTCAGCGTCTTCACCAAGTAGAACTATGTCATCGGCATATTCCAAGTCAATCACCGAGCCACCTGGTAGAAGGTCCACTCCTGAAAATTCAGACGAAGGTAATGTTACATCTGGCATCATGTCTATGACGAAATCGAACAAGAATAGAGAGAGTGGACAGCCCTGACGGACACCACTTGATGTAAAGAATTCCGGTGACAGCTCTCCATATGCTCTCACCCCACCTGTAGTGTTCGACTAGAGAGAATGTATAAGGTTTATGCACTTCTTTGGTACAGCTTTCCATGACAGATACTGCCACGGAACCTCATGATCAACAGAGTCAAATGCCGTCTTAAGGTCCAGGAAGACAACTACTGTAGGACGCGTAGATATGTGTTCCAATACCTGTCGTAGTGTGAAGATGTGGTCTATTCAGCCACGGCCAGGTCGAAAACCAGCCTGGTTTTCTCTAGACTGCTCTTCACGATCTCTAGTTAGGCGTCAAAGTATAATCGAGGCTTACAATTTAGAAACTATATTAATTAGACTTATTCTCCTGTGATTGTCACAAGAAGACTTTCGTCATTTTTTATAGACTGAGACAATCAGTGCTTGAGACCAGTCAGATGGGGTCGCGTCCAGTTCCCAGATTCTAACTAAGATATCAGTCAATCAAACAGTTAAAACTGGACCACCATCCTTAAAAATCTCAGGGGTCAATCTATCAGGTCCTGCTGCTCTCCCTCGCTTCAGATTTCCTACCGCTTCCTCAACTTCATAAGGAGTCGGCGGACTTACGCCGATTTGCCATTCAGGATGACTGGAGATCGTGGGCAACCTGTGTGGCTGTAGGCCAACTGAACTGACCCCTGAAGTGTTCCTCCCATCGATCTAAACTTCTGGAATGAGCATGAATAATAAGACCATCCTTTTCGGAGATAGTCTCACTCACATTCTAGTTCCTAATACCAGTTTCCTTGATGAGTCTGAATAGTTGCCTACTGTTGCCGATCGCCATTGCCTTTACCATCTCTCTCGCTTTCACTACCCACCACTGTTCTCGATCATTGCAAAGGCTTTCGATCACCCTGCGCCTGAGCTGAATCCGCTCCTCATCGTACTCACAGCCAGGAGGGATGAGCTTTCGAGGGTCCATCAATCCCATAGATGCTAATGAAATACACGGCATCTCCCTAACCCTGTAGTTTACCTTACTATAAGATATCACTGCTACTTCCACAGCCATTTTGAGATCATTCCAACATGCCTCAGGGTGCGCATCACTTACTTCATGGCTACCTAGCTGATTTTCTAGTTTTTCCTGAAATATATTCATAGGTTTATTATCATTAATTAGAACCCTAAGAGGTTTCCTTGCGGTATTTTTCTTGCGTGCAGTAAGGCGCAAACAAATATGCACTCGCGCTAGAGCATGGTCTGAGTCTAAACAAGTGCTCCAGAATGAGCGACAGTCTTCAACGGATCCTCTCTACCGATAGCTCATAGCGATCTGATCAAGTTGGGTCGGCTTCGGGGGTGGCCAGATCGAAGGTGTTTTACCTTATGTTTAAAGTTTGTGTTTGCTAGGAATAGGCGGTTATCTGAACATAGCTGCAGCAGACGGTCGCCATTATCTGTTCGATCAGCCGCGACAGCATAAGATCCACACAAGTGTCTTTCCTTTTCGTTGAGTCTACCTACTGGAGCGTTAAAGTCACCAGCTATCAATACCATATCAGAGCGCTTAACATTTTGGGAAAATGTAGAGACGTTTCTATAAAACTTATCTTTCATGTCGTCTGAACTGCAGTCAGTGGGAGCGTACATCGATACGATGAAGAGGCACTGGCGAGTTTCCTTATCCTTCCAAGTCCGTCCCGTCCCATTTAGTCAGACTGCGCATAAGCGACTGTCTATCGGGATCCAATCTAAGAGAGCTAGTTCTGCCCTACAACTTGATATCATACCTACGCCGGTGGGGCCACGAGAAGCGGCATCAGGGCTTCCAGAAACATGAAGCATAAACCTTTTTGTGTCTCTATCTGCATTAGATGAGATCAAATTTATGATTTTACTCGGATCTTGTATGCGCATTTTGGAGACGCAATATACATCGGCGACTGTTGTGCTGTGTCTAAGGATCTTGAATTTTCCATCTATATGTTGAGATCTACTGCTGCAGAAGCTGCTGCACTACAAATCGTCTCTTCCTGCATTCTCGATCGTATTTGGGTTCATGGAGATAGGACTTCTGTGAAGTCAAGATCAGCCAGCTACATCCGACCTATATACCGTGGTTCCGCGAAGACGTTGACCTCTCCTTAATGCAGTTAACCACAAGAAGAAAAAAGATTGAATGTAAGCTAACCTAAATAACACTAGTTTTCTCTTGAAATGAGTCTGCATATGGCTCTTCAAACGATCCTGCTGGTGCCAAGTTCGGAGAAAGAAGTTCAATTGAGCATAGAGTCAGCAACCGAAACCCGTAAAAATCAAACTTGCTAAAAATACGCCAATCAAAAAAAATGGATTTAAATAATTTGGAATGCAAGGGCAGCATTTCAACAAACGAAGAAAATCACTTACTCATAAGAAAGACGAAAGCAAACAAACAAACACGCGAAAAAGAATAGCGTTTGAGTATAGTTAGAAACGAATATCCGAGACCGAGTTGTTTGCAGAATGCTGGTTAATGTTTATGTTCAATTAGAAGTGGTATAATTAGTGTTAAATCATATTCTGAAATGACGTTTAAACAGTTTTAACCAATTGATCACACGTACAATGGTATAATCTGAACAGACAGTAACCATAAACAAACAGCAAATATTTAGCATAACAAACGGACACCGAAAATCCCATCAGCACGCTTCACAATGACGATTTCTGTTCAAAATGAAAGAATTAACTCATCAATGAGAAAACAATAGAAAATCATTCAAACGTGACAAAGTATGGTCGATTTTTAAATCAATTCATGAGATCAACAACCATGTTCCCTAATTAAAGCTTTCTAGTAGAAAATTCAGATATTTTGATTACGACTGTGCGCCATTTCACCTTTCACACACCAACTTTAGTCGATTTGATTTACTTTCAATTTTATGTGCCTATATGATATATACATATATATATATATATATGCTAATGTGTACTAGTGAAATCATTTCATTTAGAATTAACGTTCTGTCGGTCAAGTAAACCTTTGGTCTGTTCAACTGTTCTATCATGTTCTTCAAATCGACACTGTTTTTAATCTGTGTGGTCATGTTACATGATTATGTTTATGCTGATGCAGGTGACGCTGCTGTCCCCACTGATGACAAGGCAGAGGACGTGAAAGGTGACAAGTCAGTGAAGAGTGTGAACGAAGAAGTTGATCAGGATGATAATGGTAGTGAGGAAGACAATGACGTTGTCAAGGACAACCAAAAGGGTGGATCAGTTGGAGGGAAGAGTGAAGAGGGAAAGAAGGATGTGAAAGTGTGGATGTGAACAGCAGAAAAAATGATTTTGAGATGAGTGTTGTGTGACGAGTTACGGGTGCTTTTAGGTTCTGTTGTTTTTCTACACCGTTTCAACTATTGATGGCTGAAGCCAAATGTCTATACTGTAGTCCATAAATATATGTATGTTCTTACTTACATTGTCTTATCTTCTCAATCTGGAATGACTTAATGAAAGGTTCGTTCCACTGTGTTTTCGGGCTGTAAATTATTGTCTGGATACGATTTTCAGGTTCAGAACTGCAATCGTTTCGGTTGCCTAAACTCATGTGTTAGACAGTTATTTTGTGTGAAGCTGACTGCTAAAAATGTTCGTCTACAAACGTGACCAATCCGATTGACAAAGGCCAGACTAGCCCTTCCACTATATCGCCTTATATCGAGGCTTGGCAACGAAAAGGTAATACGCATGAGGAGGAGGTTCCTTGTCCAACAAACAATTGATGTAAACCTGTTTAGAGAAACCCTTCTAACGAAGCCTCCTCAATAGGTGCAAACAGAACTCGCTTCGTCCGAAATAACACTCCCGATGAACTGGATATATTTGTTGACTGGATTATGGAGACTACCAGAACTCCAAGCATCAAGGTTTGTGCTTTCAAATGTTAGCCGCAGTCGGCAGAGAACAGGAGTAGAGATCTTTTTAATACCATCAATTGTCTTCATAACCTTCAGCATGATGATAGGCGATCCGAAATTCCCCAAGGAAGCCTTTTATGAAGATGATTCTTTCAACCTCAGAAAAGAAATAACTGTTGTCGGCGTTATCATCATAACACTCATGATAAATCTACCAGACAATTCAAGGATCCTTGTGGTTTCACTAACCCCGAACGTTCCCTGAAACTCCACCGTCAGCAGACGTTAACTGTAATCGTTGAAGTTGGATACATCTCTCTGTTGTACATCACTGATGTGATGACGAACTCTCGCTACTCGTCGACACTGTTGTAAAAGTGAGCACATTTCTCACGAATACTAACAACAGTCTACAGAATCAAGCCTTCAATTTGCGTGCAGCGAACAGAAAACCGATCGACGCATGCAGTAAAATGTACATTTGCCATCACATGCGTTTACCTCTACAATTTCATGATTTTACTTTTGATGCAGACAGTATGCAGTTTCGTTATTTGATTCAAAAATATGAAATCTTTAGATACAAACGTTGCTATGCTTTTTACCCGTATTTTCAGTGTTATGGATCATTGGACGCAAACTGCCAGTGTGTGAATGTGGAGAAATGTTAAATGAAGGTGAATTATATTTGTAAACATCTCGCAGGCTTCAGTAAGTAAAACAGCATCGTCAATACCACGTTTGAAATATTTGAAAAGGCTTAAATTGGAGCTATCAATTTTAGCTTCCAATGGAAATTTTGATTCTTAGCTCATTCCTCTTCTGAAATTCTAATTTCGAAAGCGTGATTGTTCATAAAAGTGATACAACTATGCATCAATGCATGACATGGTAATCGAACACTGATGCTGAAATGAATTAAGTCTATGCAGTGATCGCAACACGTATCCTAGTGAAGATTTAATAGCATTACCTCTTCGAGTATACAGTTTTCAGTTTTCATAATGTGGTCTCATTATTAATTTTTTGCAGTCAGTGAACTATATGAGTTAAGAACTGATGTCAGACAATCGTCCACCATTGTTATATATTTCGTTGGTTTTCGATTGTCAGTTCATTGTAGTTAAAAGAACACGTGGTTATTTCAGAAATTTTATAAGCATTGCTCTTGAGAAGACATGTTACTGTGAACAAATGTCCACTGATATTGTATATGGTAGTTGTTGAATAATTAATTTGCTGATTATTTAGTTCGAACTGTATAGTCTATATATACATTAACACTGGCCCGTTAATCAACTATTCTAACCTACTTATTATTGTCAGTTTCAAGTTAATCTATGGCTTATAAAATATCACTTTTTTTTAAATTTTACTGTCTCTTTTCCTACATATGGTGAGATGTGTGCATAGCTCGCTTACTATCTAAGACTGGAAAAATCGAATTTGCTTGCCTATGATTTCTTCATCCTGAAATTCTATTGTCCACGTTTTGGGTCGATACATTTTTCTTATTTATTTAAGCCAATGAAAATTATTGTGAAATTTTTCACTAGCTACGTGTGCATAGGCTGAAGATATTGGCCAATCATATCATAGTCGATTCTTGTCAAGTTGGATTGTAAAATAACATAGAATCATTCATATATATGTAGCTGCTAGTACACAACATATATAATCTTTTGTGATTATAATGATAACAACCTGTTTCTATAGATCCTTCATTTTGTTGTTTCTTATACATGATATTTGTACAAAACCACATCTAGATGCAGTGGTATGTTGACAAGTGTTAACATATGCATATATCTATCGAAATATCATAGAGTCGACGTGATACAGAACATTTCGCTGATGATCCAGATCGACATGATATTGAATTTGATCATAATGCTTTTTTAGGCGAAGAGACTGCCAAAGAATTTGCTCAACTTACACCGAATGAAAGTGAAGAAAGATTAAAGTAAGTTAATTAGTCAGTCAAAAAAAAACACAGTTAATTTAAAATATATCATATTTACTTTTGTTTTATTAGAATTATCATTCGAAAAATTGATAAAGATAATGATGAAAGAATTACGGAACTTGAATTAAAATCTTGGATTGAATATGTAGCTAAGAAATCTAAACAAAATAGTACTGATCGTCAATGGAACGATATAAATCCAACTAATCAACCATTAATTAAATGGACAGAATATCTTGAGAGAACGTACGGACCAGAAGAAGGTAAATTAATTTGAAATGAACAGATTTATAACTTTAGGCTAAATGTTAATTTATCTGTAATATTCCGAGTAATGTTGATTCAATCTTAACATAACGAGAATTTGTTAAATTCAAATAAACGATATTGCAAAATTGAATCAGTGAAAATAAAGAATATGTTTTGATACTTGACTGTCACTAAGAATCTTACTGCATGTATGAGAGTGAACATTATTATCAAGGAATAATTGTTTTGGTACAAATCATACTTTTAAGAAATTATTCTATAGAAGGATAAGTAGTCAGTCATCACTTCTCAATATTAATAATAATAATAAAGCCTATTTATCCACCTGTTTAAGGTATGTTGTAAATTAAATCAATAGACTGATGCACCAATCTATGTTAACACGGACAAAATACATCAGGGTAATCTAGTAAAACCTTTTACCTTATTTTTTGTTTATGAAATAGTGTTATTGTCAATAAATGAATCATTCTGTACTTACTGGCATAAAATGAAACCAAATACAGATTCGTATGATTTCTGTCTACTGGAATAACAATTCCACATACTTACACATGATTAAACTGGGATGAAAGATAAATGTTTGTATGACTCATTTTTATATTTAGTCAAATAAGCATATGATTAAGTCAGTGTTGAACAGTTGTTTGAATTCATAAATGTCTTGAAAATCATTATTACAGTTATTAGGTGGCATAGTTAGTGTATTAATATGATGAAATCTGTAGATAAAATCTGTTACATTTCTCATTGTTCATATTTAATAAAACTGATGATCCAGATAAGTATATAACCCAATTGAACATACATTGTATATTGTGATTTCATTTGGCCATTAAGTTTGCATTTACATCTTAATATTTGGTTTTATGTGCAGTTCTAGTCATTAATTGTATATCATCATCAATAGCTTTATTTACATTGATATAAAGCAGAATGTTGACTGGATCATAAAAAGTATTTATTAAGAATATTTCCTTTAAAAATGATGTATAAAATAGATGCACTTTTCTAAAATATGCTTTAACAATAGCGACTAAAAAATGTAGATTACAGAAAAGGATGAATATAGATTATTTTGATTGAGGCTTACTTTCTGACTGTAGGAATGCATGCTCTGTATTTTCATATACTTGATATTTACTGAAGTAAGCAGCTTATGATAAAATGATTTCCGAATTGTTGTTGAAGCTAAGTAATACAGTTCATACTTTACAATAATGGCTTGTAAATACTTACCTATTGATTACCCCTTATACCTATAGAACGACTAAAAGACACAGCTACATCTGAATCATATAAAGAAGCTGTGCATCATGATCGACGACGATGGGTTTCTGCTGACTTGGACAAAGATGATAGTTTAAACAAAGCAGAATTCACTGATTTTGTACATCCTGAAGATAGGCCAAATATGCGTGATGCTGTTATAGATGTAAGTGATAAAATTTTTAATTCATGAATAAATTTCTTATGTGAATATTTAAGAAGACGATAGATTGACATAAAAGTTGTTCAACATTCATGTTAACATACGAAATGGTAACTTCATAGGTTGGAAACTTTATTACAAAATCATTCGGTCACTCTAATGCACTGACGAAAATCAATTAAGTCGTATCGCAACACTTTTTTATTCATAAATTTCAATTCTTGTAGTTTCAACTATTTCATATACTGATATACAAGGTATATCATCAAATAACTTCCAGTCAATTGAACCCAGTTTTAAGGAGAACTCATTTTGTGTTCTTTCCGTTTAGGATTATTTTTCTCAACCTGTTAATACATAGCAATGTACATTTCTATTCAAAGGTAAAGTTTTAGGATGTGCTCTCACGGAAACATTTATAAGTTAATATCAAATTATCTAAATTGATTGGTTGTGCTATGAATTGGACAGGATAAAAAAGTATATTAAAAATAAATTTTTGAAATAGATTTTCAGTTCATATGGTTTTAGGCTAACAGTGTACTATTCAGCTTTATCTCTCTGCACTGATGTTGGGGATGTTAGATCCCCAGAACTCGCTTGATAAATGCCTTATTTTGGATTTCACTTTTGCGAGCATGGGCTGATCAGTTGACCTTGAGATTTCATTTCCCATCAAGAAAATCCATGGCTGTGATTGGCTGCTGTGGATTTTAGTGTGCTATTTTCATCACTGTCCCAAGGATGTTTCTATAATGCATAAATAAACGAGAGTTGTGTGCTTGATTGTATTGTGATTGCTGGGTGTTTGTAGAATATACTTTCTACACTTACAAAGCCTTCTGTCTTCAGCTTGGAATTCAAGGTAGCCTATCTGGACGCTGGTAATTGTCTCGTTCGCGTTTATTGACTAAGGTGAACTCGTAATAGCTTTAAGCGTACCTAGTGACAAACTTATCAACTACAGTGTTGATTTTCACTTTCGAATTCGAAACCAGTATTATTCATTTCAAGCTGCCACTGAACAGCCAAGTACAGTTGACCACTAAATTGTTTGAACCCTTATTCATATTTATTTTCAAAGTTAAGAAGCATGTAAAGGGGAAAACAATTTGGACAAAATCTTGATTTTTCTACTGTATATCGCTTCTCTTAAATTTCTAGCTAAGGTTGTCGTAGCTTCTCTCAGGGCAGTGGACTCTATTTTCCTATAAAATGCATTTGTGTTAGAAAAATCTATAAGAAGGCCCTTTTTGATGAAAACTACGGTGAAACGGACGGCCCCCAATGACAACAATAATGGTTTTTGAAGTTTGTAGGTGTATTTTTGAGCCAGTAAATAGACAGATTCATTATGAACAGGATCTGACACCTAAATGTAATGAAATATATACTGTGGTTGTATGCCTTAGTAATTTTAGTTTTATTCAAGGCTTGTTATCGGTCTACCCTAGTTTACAATGACACTTACTTTATAGTTTCAGCAGACCATTACACCGTTGAATAGTTTTTCACAGGCTATACGTGTTCTGTAAATAAGTCTCGATAAATTTTAACAATACTACTGATATTATTAATTTACTAACGAAGTTGTCCATGATAAGATAGGAAACCTATAAATCAATTACAGAAAATTTCTAAGGTTTAGGCCTATGTGTTACCTTATAATCCAACTTTTTCATATGAATCTTAACGAATTTCAGGTGTTTAACAAATAAGTTCCCATGCAAACCTACCAGGAAAAGTTAATGATTAGATTTTAAATACGGTCAATACGTTGATTTTGATCCGTTTATAACAGTGCAAATTTAATGCTTTCTTGTTTTTCTGATCTCTATTTTTTTTCGTATTAGGAACTACTTGAATCTGTGGGATAAGGACAAAGATGGTTATGTATCTGAAAAAGAATATCTAGGTAAAATAAAGAGGATTTATTATTTTCTGTTATTATTCAATCTTTTCGAGAAACTGCATTAAGGATTATAAAACAAAACTGGTTACTTCAACTGGGAACTTGCATTTAGCATCCGCATTATTTTAACAAATAAATTAACACTTAATTATCATCTACTATATTTTTATGGTTTCGATTAGATTTTCTCTAAATTATGAGAAAAATAAATTCGTTGTGTTTAGGGCAAAGAACTTTGACTAACATTCAACCTTCATTAAGTGAACCGATTGTGAATAGACATTTTAGTTCATAGCATCACCTAATGGCTTTAACATAACCTAAAAATATCCATTCATTTTTATTTATAGCTATCAGGGACTGGTCGAAGGTTTTGCCGTACTATACATCGTTTTATGCAGGATAAAACTTAAAAAAAAAGTGAACTGGGCTAAACAGTTTTATTTAATATGGATAAATATTAATTTACTGTTGTTTCAGTTCATATCAAGGTTTTAGTTTGATACTTTTTAAATTCAACAACTTATGCTTGCATTCAGAGCTAAAGTGTGAGATATCTTTCTCGTTATATGCCATACGTATGTCCATTGTATTGTCGTGGATAGAGATTAGTAGTAAAATTACTATACTACTAGTCTAACTCTATCGACAAATAAGTGTAGAAATTCGATTTTCGTCTTAATTTTGACATTCATCTCATTATTTTTAAATAGGAGATTTAGCTCGTGCTTACCAAAGTACACCATTTGATGAGAATGAAACCTGAAGCAGAATGGGTTGAACGTGAACGTAGTCAATTTCGTCGGTTTTAGAGATACAAATCAAGACGGTAAAATGGGATAGAGCAGAAGTTGGCGAATGGATAATGCCATCGAATTTATGATCCAATAGATGCTGAAACGAAAACATTTGTTTTTATCATGCTGATACTAATAAGGTAAGTTAATATTTTTTTGAAGTCATGGTTTTTTTTTTTACATTTTCTTAATAGATGTACAGCTGTAATTGTAGATTTAACTAGTAAATTAACTGATTGCAGAGATCAATCTATTCTATGCTAATTTGGATAGTTTGTTTAACATTGCCACAATAGAAGAAAAGACGATTTTAATTGAGTCTATGGATAGTTTATACTGTGGCACTTCAATAATATTCAGGATCCGATTGAAAATCATCAATCAATCATTGTTAGATCATCATTAGAACCCTGGAAGCACTGAACCAGTGACCAGTGGAGTTCAACCCTGTCCTGGTTTAGGCGAGTACCTACCGAGGATATGCACTACCTTGGATTGATGAAAGTTAGAAAGGTCACGCGTTTCGATTCCGACGACAGGGGGTCGCGAATGCGCATTACTGATTGAGTCCCCATACTCCGGACGATATCGCTGTCGATAGCTTTCAGGTTTATAATAGTGGTCTAACAGTGATCGAACCAGTGAAATTCACCGAAAACTCAACAATCTTTACAACCGTAAGAAAAATACCAGAATGTAACTTCGAACATTTTTTAATGAGACTACTTGTTACATCTTATATAGTGACTAACAGAAACCATAACTATCAATTTATACTTCCAAAAGAAATATGATCATGGCTTATCGTAAATTTGTGTTACTTTTACAGCCAAAATACTTAAAAAAATTATCATGGGATTAAAATTCCAAAGATCATGCTAATCAGTCAAAACAATAACATAGTGTGATATCTTTCTAAAATAGCCGGACGTTCATTTACAAAACCATAATTATTCACTGATAATTATACTCCATTGATCACGCTGCAAGAAATATTTATGAATTTTTCAAACCGTTTGCTGCACATTAAGTAAAGTT